TATTACGGTCATAAAAACTGTGACTACCGACTCGGTTTTACTACGAACACGTTAAATAAAACGTGTTGATTGCATTATCTTCACTCGAAAGAAAACCTATATAAACGGAATAGACTGGATTTATATAGATAATTTTACATTACAGTAAATCTATCGCAATCATAATTGTCAAATCTTAAATCTAGCTTATTTATTAGCTTACATTCCTGTCCTAGTTTTAAACGCCTACAACAACCCAGCAACCTATCTACAAGTTGAAATAATACAATCTAGTTGTTGTTGCAATGCCCTTGTTATTGCACTTGCGCAATTAACGACCGTTTATACAAAATATTCCAATTAATATATATTATTAGGTACAATAGTGAAGTTACTGTTATTATTACTGGTATTTCGTTACTGCGAAAAATTGCAAGTAACTCGATCGTGGCGTGTTTAAATCTGTATGAAGCCGTACACTACATTGGGCACCAAATTTTTTTTAGGTCCAAAGATACGTTAGCCATATGTAAAATCTACCGGAGGGATACATGCTTCAATTGTTTGTGAAATTCGTTCATAATATGAGTTCAGTGAACGAAATATAAACAAGCTTTTATCGCGCTATCATATGTGTAAATTGTGTTCCATCAACAACTCGTCGGCTATGGAATTTTCAATAGATTACTTCCAAATACATAAAATTTGTAAATTTATTACTAACATGTGAGTAATCCCAGAGTCATTCACTTACTAAGCGATCTTCTTAATTCATTAATCAATTACTCATCTATCATTTAACTTTGAAACCGTCATTCCTGAAGCCCTAGGCGTTAAAATGCGATATGAAGACCCAGGAGGTAAAAATAAACCAACATAAAATGATCTCTGCTTCTTTGAGCTGTACATCGTTTTGTTAAAGCCTTGTGTATTGTGGCGGGGTTGAAAGGGTCTGTGTATAATGGTCGGTGCCACATGGTACAGCGGGGTTGCGGGGAGAGAGAGTATCGTGGGAACAACCAAGCAACACATATGGAGCGCAGCTTTATCTTCCACCATGCATATTACTCGACGGATAATAATAATCATATTTAGTTAACACAATCTACAAAGTCCTAATGACGATCTTTAATATAGAGATTATGTTTTATTATATATTAGGATCTCGTGTTTACAAACTGTGCGATAACTGTGTAGCTTTCTTGTGCCGACAGGCGGTTGAGACAATAACATAGCACGCTATTTGACTCGCATAAATTAATTTCAATGAGTGTAATAACAAAGTAGGTACACAATGTATATTTATACAGAATGTAGGTAGTGCATTTGCATATGTGCTTGTGGTTCATTGTTTTCCGACGCTTAGCGAGACGTACGATCATAAAAAAAAAACATTGTGTTAATATGTCAAGCAAATTTCGAGTTTGTCATTCATGCTAATACAAAGTGCGACTGTAAGTTACATATTGAAAGCTGTAAAACAAACGTATTTGAATATTCATCTGGCGGACGTCCAAGCACGAATTTAACATTGTTTCCCTTTCTCAGGTCTCTTACCTATGAAATGTTCACGCAGCGACTGAAACAGATTTCGTTCTCAGTCACCGCGTTCTAAACATTATAAAACATCTGCATTCTAAGTGTATTCATCGTAAAATACGTTTAATATAACCCCCACCAAGAAGCTAGCTCGATCATTATCTCATAGTTTATTTATATTAGATAAATGTTAATCTAAACGTGTGCAAGTCACAAATGCACTCGATGCGACTCACACACGTGTCCGGTGAACGAACTCAGCCTATGCCAATGCCAACAATCCCTCAATTAATTACCCATTACATTACGGATAATGATTTGGAAACCGTTTGATCGTCACACAAACAAAGTCGTTGCGGTAATCCAGAATAGACGTACGCTGGACTTAAATAGAAACGGATTTGTTTTCATTTTGAATACGGATAGTGAGAAAAAATCATGATATCGAATAAAAAAATGATAATACGTCCAAGGCTGCTATTAATGAGAGGGTAATCAAAGCTTACGTCAGTTGTAAAACTGTTTTAACGATGCGGAAGGTTGTGATCACTGGCTTGCTGCCCGAGCCAAGATATGTTGTGGCATTGGTCCAGCCAGGGTCAGGAGCGGCCAATGCACTCGTCACAGTCGATCACACGCCAATTATAAATAACATTTAACTCGAAAACAATGGACAGGACTCAATGCCGTCGCACTATCAATACTACAAATGTTTATTTACACTACTTTTTTGAACGCAAACATTGAATAAGATTAGAATCATACGTTTTTAAAATATTAAATCTAAATGTATATAATCAGAACGAAATATATAGCAATATCCTAATCGTCTAAATAAATAATAAGTTTAAACTGAGAATTAAAACGTTACTTCATAATACGATAGAGTCCTGACTTCTAGGATAAGATAAGTTATCTTAAACCCGAGTGACGATGATACTTGGGAACCGGGGACAAAAAACTGACAAAAACTTTATTTAGAATAGGATAGGTGTTTTAGTTGTGGGTTATAAAAAAACTTCACGTTAGATATACTGGGTTTTATTAAAAGGACGATATTTGAACATTCGCTAATATAAGTGACCAAACATGTGCGAGATAATGTTTGTTTAGGCAAACTTGTTAAATGTTGACGGGATGTGCTTTGAACCTTCAAGGTTGCTGAAGTTATTTAAAGTACTATAATATTTTTGCTAAACGTTTGATTAACTAGAAAATATAAAATATAAATCTATAGACGAGTTGAGATGAACAATGAATCTTAATTCGAATTGTACATTATTTCGTAATATTTACCGTCACCAAAAAAAAATCTGTTAATATTAAACAATTCATACATTTTTACAACACGTACAACGTAGTCATTGTGCCAAATTAGATCAAACATCAACAGAATGACCTTGACATCACAGAATCGAGATCTTAGCTTCTTTCAGTGACATCTGTTTTGGAAATTCGCCGGCCACAATCCAACTCCGACGCGCGTTTTTTTTTACAACGCCCGTCTTTGGCTTCGCTCCAAAACGCTAAAATAGCACCTCCGTACATGTCATTGTACTGAGGAAGCTTGCAACATCAGCAGTTTCAGAACACATTAAAACTCTATTCTATAAATGATACTTTGTATGGAGCGTATATAAGTTTAAGGACAAAAAGTATACTACAAGTTGGTCGACTGTTTATAAAACTTCACGAGCGACCGGTTGTCGAGATTACTTTCATCTTAATGTATCATCCGTATCGAATAAACGTTTTTTAATCGTAATATTTCAAGGATGCGGAACAATCCTCTTTATCTAACCCGACGCTTCATCAAAGTAGAAAATGGTGGACGGACAAAAACTGGGACTGTTCGTTTGGACGAACCCTTTTATTTTGTTTCGCTCCATTCTTTTTACCTTTATTCTAAAAATATCGCATTCACGGGCCCATTTCGAAAGGAAACGTGATTCTGTCCAAGGTCAAGTGAATTAGTATTCGTATGGTGTACATAGTTCGACCGGACGCAAAAACTTGTTAATGTAGGTATGTGCTTGTTGATTTTTTTTGACAATAATTAGACTCGCCCGCGGCTGAATCTCGTGAGCTACTCCCCAAGTTATGTAATTGAATGGAGATAAAACGTGGACAAAAACTAAGATTATAAGTCTTTACGAGTTTAGAACTTGTTAACTTTATGAGAGCTATTATTAAGAATTTAATTTTAATATCGCAATTTAGGCGATTGTTTAAATGGATACACGAATTTGTTTTAATCTCAATTTTAGTTTTTAGATGGCCATATTGTATTGGATGATTAATATGCTTATTAATAGTAAAAACGTGGTAGACTTAAATCATTCATGATGTAGTTTATGAGAAATACGTTTTTAATTATGAGTAATAGCATACATTACTCTAGCATTTTTTACTCTTCTTAAAATATGATTTAAAAAATAATAACTGATATTTGTAAATTTATTATATGATTGATTCCAACTATTCGAAATATATACAATTCTTTAGAAATTTAAACCCTTAATAAACATTTCAAACAAGAATAATGGTGTCAAAAATACATGTAGTCCTAAAATAATTTAATGAAACTTAACGACTGCAACAATGTTATATCACAATAAACCCCTGTATAGTGTTTGCGACGATGCTAAACGAGCAATCAATCTCTACACGGTCCGCGGAGTTAATTAGCTGTCAATATTTAAATGTATATTATGTTCCTTGTAAGCACCTAGCCTCACACAGATGAGCTACAAACCCGAAATTAATCAGACATATTCATTATAAAGGTAAATTGCTGGAAATCTGAGTCATAGAAACAAGAAGACCTGAAAGATGAAACAACTTTCAAGTGAAATGTGATTCACCGGCTTCATTATCATCCATTTATATAGTTGAGAAACTTTTTTGTTTTTCGCAATTTGCAGAACTTTTATTGCCGACCTTACCTAGATTTAATGAATAAAATATTAAAGTTAAAATCAATTATCGAAATTAATATTTATTTATGATATTACATTCTTTAATAAACTTCATTTTTTACCTAATGATCATATGAGAAACGAATAATGCTCAAAAATTTATTATAAAATATGAAGAGACCTAGATGTGTTATACGGTGCAGTGCCATTACGTGTCTAATGAGGCGGGCTGTCTGCCTTGTTATTGTTATTGTCAGAAATGTGATGTACAATTTATAGAAGCCGGCACAGGAGTTATAACCTAAAAGTCGGGGCCATTGAGCCGCGAGACGGTAGGACCCCGCGCAGCCGCTCGATGTTGCTACGCATGCGCCCTGCTAAGTGAAAAAGCAAAGAACCATCAGAGCTTCACAAAGCGAATAGATTCCATGACTCGCACCAAACGAGCACAACATTCGCGACAGACCAATAGTACATTTCAGTGGCATTTTTTATCATCGAGTATGTGATAAGAGTTGACGGGAACATAATCGGTTAGTGCTTCTGTTGTGACTATCTACTAACATGTACAAAACAGTGAGGCATGGTGAGAACAGCCTTCAGTACACCATATTACCGCAAACCGAGGAAGTCCTAAGCAATAGTGGTTTGAAAGGAAAAGGACGTGATTATAGTCCCTCGATTCATGTGCGACGATCCCGTAGAAAGTCAGCGTTGAAGTATATATTGTTAATAATTATCGGTATAATTGTGGCTTTAGCGTTTGCTTCTGTTCCACTCTACGTTCTTAATGGTGCTCTCTATGCTAGAAGATTACATCATGAACAACACGAGACTATAACAGCGGCGCCATTGACGCCAGCTGGTCGGGAGATGGTGAAATCACGCAAAAAAGAACTGAAAGTAGCTGCTGAGGTGACAACCCTGAAATCTAGACTAGAATCAAGTACTACTACTACGACATCATCTACAGTAACGTCAACACCAGTTCCAATCACAGTAGCTAGTGAAAAGGCGACTACTCCGCCGTGGACGCTACCTGCACTAAGATCTTGGAAGTTTTCATCATCTTCGACCACTATCAAACCTATTCCTACAGAAGATAATAACGAAATTCCATTCGCTGGTACACCATCTGGTGGTGTTCGGTTATTGGACCATTACATGTCCATGTCGATGAAACCATGGGAAAAGGACATTATAATAAGAGCAACAGTTACTCCCGATCCGTTGACTATCCGCAACGTATTTCAATACTACACCCGAACCATGAATCCGTCGGAAAAAACGATTACTACAAATTCAAAGACTTTCGACGACGTTTTAATAACAACAAAACCGACCACAACACACACAGCAATGACCACTGAATCGAACGAAATCAATGAGAAGACCAAAATGAAAGATTTGAAAGATGCCATACTCTCAGTAGACGATGATGATGAGTTTAAAGAATCTCTGGAGGTGGATGAGGTTTTCTCACTGCCGCCTCTAAAACCGGAAACTTCAGCACAAGCAACCGATTCCGACGAAGTGACAGTTTCGAAAGCGACTGAACCAGGCTGGTACGGAGCTCGATGGCCATTCGTTGATACGTCATCTTACTTTCAATGGACGGTAAGCACGATCGTGAGTTATCTAACTTGTGTAATGTTTATATTTACGTGAGCATGGATTGCGTGCTCAATAATCTCGTAACCAATTCCTAAGGTAAGAACTGGGTAATGCCAATTATGAAACAAATGATATAATTTGATCCAAGATCCGCTCCGTTGGATAGGTATATATAATTATTAATTTGTTATACATTTATAATTTCGTTTGTTGTTAGAATTCTGCTATTAGGTATTTTTCGATGCTACCATCAACATGTAACATTTTTAGTATACAGAAAAAAATATATTAAAAAAATTAACAAAGATTTGCATTATTCCACTTACAGTAGGTACATATTAAAGTATTTAAATTTTATGAACTTTAAAATTAGCAAGTGTTTAATTAATAATTAAATGTGCTACAGAAATTTATAGTAATCTTTACTGCTATTAGCCTACTATCGCGTATAACTAAATAAATAACATCTACCAGTAACAATTTTCCTCAAAAAGTATCTTTGTTGTTATTTAAAAAAATATAATTCTAAAAGTAAGTGCAACTCGCCAGTCTCTGGCGTTCCTCATAAATTAATACAATTCGTGTAGGTTAGGTGTTAATTTAAATGAAAAATGTTATTCTCAAAACGTCACCTCTTAATAAGAGACGGCAATTAAAATTTGTTTTGTGCCTACGGCTCCCTTTTATTTTTTTTAACAAAAGTGCCGCTAATGAGATCTTGTTAGGTCTATATTGTTCTTATAAAACAATTAAAATTCTTTTAAGTGTGCTAAAATAATACGACCATTGAAATTAATTTATTTCTTACATTTGATAACGCTGTTTGTCAACCATTCGCTTAAAATAGGAATTAAATAATATTGAAATTTAGATAGACATGATATCATAATAAAATATTAACAAATAAATAAAATCAATTTATTAATATAGTAACAATTAATACATCATTTGTTAGGTTTTTTCGCGTTATTCTACATCAATCGTCATTCCGATACATGACTATGAAATGGAATAAATAATTATATATTTCACAGGGTTATTCTCCGGGAGATAATCTTCTTCTGCCGTTGTTGATAGCAGCACTATCATCTATAGCTCTGGTTCTACTGTTGGCATTGGCTGTCAAACGCCGCAAAAGAACGTCAAACGCTTCAGCACAAATAGGGGTACGAAATTTTATTACATGACACTAAGGCTTTTTATCCCGCCAATATTTTGTTTTAATTTTATTTATTTGTCGTATTAATGTAGTTGCTAATTATAGTTAAGGTAAAGTCACCAGTCATGGTCAGTACAAGCGGTATTTTTAGAGATTTGCTTTGTGACGTCTTCATTTTTCAATATATATTCTTCGGCATTAGAAGGTAAATAAAAAGCTCTTTTTTCAATCAGTATTCAATGTTTAATTTTAGTTTGGTACTCAGTACAATAAAATACAACAGACCCGTGTTGTCATTTGTAAAAAAAATCTGCGTCTTTGCTTAATTTTGGAGGCAAAATCAAAAATTATCCATGACTGGTCCGCGTCCAACATAAGTGCTTTTACCTTATATACCTAATCTACTGCGATTGTTCTAGAAGTTGACCGCCGATTTGCAAGCAGACGACAACACTAACTTACTCACTGCTGATAATCAAGAAGAAACAGAAGAATGATGCTTCAAGTGAGCTTCTTTGATCACCTCACGTACTAGCAACGGGTGTGGATTCTGCTAGAAGATTACTTTTTTGGATGGCTTTGCAATACACGCGTATATATTGAGTTGATTGTGATTAACGCAAATTTGGTATAACAATCATTTGAGTCGTTTTGGACTGATGTATTGATCTAAATCCTGACATTGTTTTAAGCTTATAAATTTAAGGGCACATTTATAAACCCTTATACTTTTTTGGATATTAAAATAATCATTGATAAGAATGGAATTGATATGTTAGTTAACTTTGTCGGTTTTTTAAAACATTTTGTATTTATGCGGATTGTGGTTCGTTCGGAAATGAAATTCTAAATTGTTCAGATTTAAATAATTTTGAGTGCCTATCAGTATAGAATGGAGTGTAGGGCTTCGCGCGAAAGCCTTTAGAAAGCATATTCAGAGATACGATATAATTCTGCTTAACGAGTGATATTTACTTAGATTTTGACTTAATAATTAAGATACTTAAATGCCAAAGCAGTTAAAATTATTTTTGTTAAATATCTACAAAATCGGTACTCTGTGAATAAAAGGCTGAAAATTAGCTTCGTTTACATTTGAATGAAACAAAAACCGAATACTAGTCCTCGAGATTTCAATGAGAAAATAACAATAATATATCATATCTCTGAAAGTTCCGATATCTCGTCAGTATTAACAAAACCCTGTGGTATATAATAAGCGTATTATTTTTGGTGTAGTTATAGTGTAAGGCAAAATATAATATCGAAATAATAAAATGTATCATTCATCATCGTTGGACACTATTATTGTATAATTTGAAAATAGAAATAAGACTGAATAGGATTGCGTTTCAATGAGTTTATTTTAGACAGAAATTTTTGTTCGTTTCGTCGATGTTAGGTTAAGACAAAAAAAATTATAAATTTGAAAATGGAATGGCTTTTATACGCAACGCCATTGGTTCGAATTACACCAATCACGAAGCTTTTACGTCGAAGCGACATCTAGCGGATAAGGATTAAAGCCGCTACAATTGAGACCACGAAAATCACGCTAACGATATTTTAAAGATAATAATACCGCACATTGTATATGTAAGTTAGCTTTTGTGTTAGAATAGTTCTGGGCAGTGTGATTATTTTCTATGCTGGATAACACCGTGTACATAAATACATGAATAAATTATGTTTTCCCACCTATACTTTCTTTTAATAATTATTTGTGTAAATAAAAAAAGAAAACTACAAATATTAATTGACTTATATTGTACAAAAAAATCCCAAATATTGCAACCAATTATCATTCAGATGAAGACTTTAACCTAACTTATTTAGACTAAAAACTAAATCTTACAATTTATCATACAATAAATAAGAAATTAAACTTTTTTTAATAATAAGAAATAAAAGCAAATAATATCTACATGAGAGTAAATAAATATATAATGAAAAATTTAAATATACTTCTACATACTTTATACAGGTCAACGAACTTAGACAGCTGTTAAAATGTTGTAATACTAAAAAATAACTTGACTTACAAAGTAATTAAATTTATTTTTTTTGTCACAATAATAATATGTGTTATATAAAGAAATAAAATTAATGAAATAAATTTCCTGTTAACTACTGATATAGATCTTTGAGATCGTTTAAAAAGAATTTCGAACTGAATTTAGACACCATACAATAAGTAAACTATTTTTATTAATACATTTGCATAGAAAAATCGAAAAACCCAATAATAGGAATATAAATAGAAACACATTTCTGAGAAAATAATAATATTATTAGTCTTATCTGTAAATATTTTTATTATTTTAACAAAGATTATTTGTATCTGAAGAATCATTTCTATTATTTAATATTATATATTGTTACTAAATAAAAGTAATTTTTGGGTCTTTTGGGAATGAAAACACAAATTCACATTACACTAAATTGTATGAAAACAAAATGTTATATATTATTATTTAATTTTATTCGTTTATTCAAATGGAAACTTAAAATAAATGGTATAAAGAATAATTAAAGGGTTTTTCGACTTTTCTATAAAAAATGTATTTAATAAAATAGTTTCAGAACACATTTTTGGTCTGTATGTACATGTATGAATTAAATGTATACATTAATATCTTAATTTCATAATTTATTGTAAACGACACGAAAATTTAAATCTCCCGATACTCTAAATATATTATTGCGGCTCAAAAAACTGACGAAACAAAAGTACACGTTAACATTATGTATATATTTACACAACGAATTTAAACTTGTGTATAATGGGCTCAGCAAAATTAATTTTCTACGACGCTTTATGTGAACATGGAATTTTACATAATGGTGCTTTATGTGGCATATCCATGAAAATGTTCTTTAGTAAGCATTAGTAAAAAATCAACTCTCCTAAGCGTAAAACACCCTTAACACATGTTTTCAATCACACTACATACTGAAAGTTAAGAGTTTTCATTCATAAATCATTATTATTATCATATTAGACGGTGTATAAAAACGTTAAACTGTTCGTATTTAGTTAGTGAATATTAACATGTGTTAAAGGTGTATATATTAATACTAAGTTAATGTATAAAGTGTATAATTGTATAATTATGGGGGCGGTTGTTTTAATAGGCGGGCGAGTACATGTCTTCCTCCAACTAATTTCAGTTGCTGACCGTCCATTAGTACACTCCTTACACCGCTAGATGTCGCTGTAGTCGTTGTCACAGCCTGAAACATTATTAATATAATAAATATTATATAAAACACCATACATTTAATTTACAGCTCAATTATTAATTGAGCGACTTCTAAATACAAAAATTTTCTGTGTACCATATATGTGTGTTTGTGTGTTTTGTGTGAAAAGTGAATTTCTCAAAAACCATACTTTACGAGGAAGTTTAGTGTGTAGGATCTAGTGAAAATATACATTACGTGAATAATAATTTCAGTGAATAGATTAATTATAATAAGGTTTCAGAATCATACATATTACATAAGAAAAATATTTAAACAATCGCATACAATTTCTTGGACATATTTTTCGTCATCATGAGATTTTAACAATAATCATACTTATATTAAACATACTTAATGTCATTTCTAAATCATGTCATAATATGCATAAAACCGTGCAATATCACCCTCTTCGGAACTCATTATATTAAAAGTGTGTGCAGTTTCATACAATTGACAATGTTAAATGTTAATCTACAATGTTAAATTTAATGTTAAATGTTATAATCCTATAACCCCTCCATGCCAATCCCATGCTTCTAATGTAACATGCATATCACCTGTTGAATTTTAATTCCCTGTGGAAGTTTAACCTGATGTATCGGATTCACCTGTGATGATAATATTTATGATAACATTGTTTAATGATACACAATTATGATATGATAATGATATGATATGACTTTTACCTGTTGCAGTTTCAACACCGGCGCTGTGGTTGTAGGTGTTGTAACTGTTTGAGAACCTGTTGATAGATTAGATTTTTTTTAATCTATACATAAATGCACATTATTTCATTTCATTGTACTAAAACGGATAAAAAATCAGTACTATTATTATCAACTTTTACCTATATAGATATCTTTTTAACAGTTGTATCCAAAACTAACTAGGACATAACTTAATTTTGGACTCAAAATTACCTTGTAATGCTATTTCTTGATTTTTTCTTATCAATGAAGTACAAGGATTTTATTAATACATTATTATTAACATACCTATGTTACTTAAAACTATTGTTTGTGATGTTGAAGTCCCTCCCGATGACGTCACTCGTATGGTGCCGTCCGATTGCTGGAATTAAAATAGACTTATTTATATAATAAAGAAATTATTATAAAACATTATATATTATACTTAGCATTAATGAATTTCTGAGTCTTATATATACTAGTTTTTGCCCGCGACTTCGTCCGCGTTAATTTCGTCGATAGTAATATTAAATATATGTATAGCTGACCGGGCGAACACTATTCCGCCTTAAATAACCAGGTATTGATATTTAATAAATTTTTCTTGTTTCAATCGAACAGAATGATTGACATATTAGTTACTTGTCAAATCTAATGTCAAAAAACCGTTTGTGTGGGAAATAGAAAAGGGTTCTTTTCAGTGTTTTCCCGTAAATGAATAATTTTTTTCAGCTTTAAAACCTTCCCTGAACCTCCACGAACATTTCAAGACTAAGATAAGATAAATCCGTTCAGCCGTTCTCGAGTTTTAGTGAGACTAACGAACAGTAATTAATTTTTATATATACAGTGTAAACTCTATATCACGACACTCGATTTAACGACAAATTCTCTAAAGCGTCGAAATCATTTGACTTTGGTTGGTTTAGCTTGTCTACCATACAATGATACACTCTACATAGCGGCACGCCCATTCTCAATAACGACAACAACTAAGTAATAAAAAAGTACCTTTTAAGTTGCTAAAATTAGTAAAAACTGTGCAGCTGTGTACGTTCCTTTGTCGCTTTGTTATTTAGCTAGCCCGCAATAAACTCGACTGTCCCTATCATGCATACCGAACTTTCTAAGAAATTCGTTCTTTTGTTTACAATTACAAATTGCTTACACGTGTCGACGGTTTTTGACCGTAAGTAGGAGTCTTGTATTACCTATACGTTATCATATTCTCAGATGCTCACCAAATCTCAAACTATAAACATGGCTAGTAAAAGAAAATCACTGTGTGTTGACGAAAAGTGTTACTGATACGCGCAATAGAAACGGGAGAGAAGATAAGCGATGTTGGCAAACGCTTTGGATTTAGTCGCTCTACCGTGTATACAGTATGGAAAAATAACCAGAGTGTGATCAAAAGCCTCAAGGGTCACTACAAAAAGAAATTATTGATGGAGCTAGTCGAATCTGAGGGTAAAACTACTGTTAATATGCTGCATGCAGTAAATTGTTTATCTAAAGCCTGGGAAGAAGTGACACCCACAACTATACAGCACTCTCTTCGACATGCTAAACTTTGTACCAATTCTACGAGTGATGAGGTGGAAACGGAACTTGAATTTGATAGTGACGACGAACTTCCATTAACTGAGTGGATTCAACAGTTTAACTTGGCAGGAAATACGGTAAATCTTCAAACCTACATGGAAGTAGATGACTGCCTCCTTACAACATTAAGAAATTTTAGATTCAGTGAGAAAAACTGAGGATCAACAGCAAGGAGATGAAGAAGATGAGATAGATGAGCCTGAGCCTCCACAGAGCATTAAAGAAGCTTTGGAAGCAGCTAAACTACTGGAAAATTATTTCTTTTATCACCAAGATGCCTCAATATCGCAAGATATTAATAAAATAACTAAAATAATACAACAACAGTACTGGTGCAGCAAAAGACGTCAAACAAAAATAACTGACTATACGCAATAGCGTTCGAATAACATTCTTTTTTATGTACTTAAGTACTAACACTAGTCTGAAATAAACTTTGTCTTTTTCTAATTCTGATTTTTCATCTTTCTATTTAACGGCAACTCTGTATAACGCACTAAAATGCACGGTCCCTTCAGAGTTTACACTGTATATATTTTGACAATCATAATTAATGTTTGTTGATGAAGTCGTAAACTGTAATGAAACTAGTAAACTTCTAAGACGCCCTATGTGATTTCGTATCTCACGTATATATGAGACACACACTTATATATATGTACTATCTTAGTCTTGTGTCACTTTCTGTTTAGTTTCATTTAAACATCTACTCCCAAGTCTTAATATACATACTATGGAGTAGCAATGTTATAAATACTACAGTCTACTATAGTGTACCTGTAATATAATATTATGGAGAGGTTTAGCTGATGTCAATAATAGGGGTCTCGCTAGCCTGGACGCAGGCGCTAGGACACGCACGCCGCGACCGCCGCGCCCTCTACCGCGAGAACCCACAACACCTTCCAGTGAGATCATCTGAGTCTAAAATATTAATTAATTAATAAATTAATGAGTATATTCAAGAAAAAAAGAAAAAAATTATGTAATAATAACAAACCTGAGCATTAGTTAGCAACTTGGCAACAATTGGTTGAGATGTTTTATCACCAGTCGGCTGAGTTCTAACCACTTGCGCTATGGATTTCGGTGTCTGTTGATTAGCGAGCTGTAACGTCTGACCACTCGCCAACTGTAACGTCTGGCCACTAGATAACTGTACAGTCTGACCACTGGACAACTGTACAGTCTGGCCACTAGACAACTGTAGAGTTTGGCCACTCGGCAACTGTACAGTCTGACCGCCGCCCAACTGAACAGTCTGACCTCCGATCTGTACAGTCTGAGATCCCAACTGAACACTCTGACTAGGCATTTGCACTGTCTGTCCACTTAACTGAACGTTTTGACCTAACTGTACAGTCTGCATACCACTCGCCAACTGTACAGTCTGACCGCTAGGTAATTGCACATTCTGACTGGCAACTTGTACACTTTGGCCGCTCGGTAATTTGACTGTATGTCCAGTCAACTGTACACTCTGTCCCGCCAATTGGACAGTCTGACCACCTATTTGGACAGTCTGACCTAATTGCACCGTTGATACTGGAATTTGTACTGATTGGTTCATAGCTTTGATATTCGGTGATGAAGTCTGTGCTTTCGGACTTGGGTTCTTCACTTGTGTTGTAGATACAGCTCTTACTTGTGGTGATGCCAATTGAACAGTTTGTCCGCTTGGCAGTCTGACGCTATGTGTTGGTAACTGTAGAGAAGAAAGCTGTAGTGTGTGCCCTGAAGTTAATTGTACAGCTTGGCCGCTCGGTAAATGTACAGTTTGATTGGCAGCCAACTGAACTGTTCGACCGCCAGCCAACTGTACAGTTCTCGTTGTAACTGAGGACGTTACAGCTGTAGGTATACTAGACACGACGTTTGTCGGACTTGATGTGCTCTGAAATATTAAAAATATATGAGGAAATATATACGAAAAAATATATATAATTGTACATACATTATAAATACCTGTGCTATCGTAGTAACAGATGTAGTCCCGGGTATGATTGGTCGCTTTTTCGTTGTGGGTATACCTACAAATTTCAAAACATAAGTCATAACATTAAATTTTTATAGGCATTAATATTTGATTACTTAACATTTTTGTAATAAATCTCTGTATTATTTTGTAAACTACTAGTTTTTTTCGAGACTTCTCGAGTTTTACTTTCAGGGTGAGAAATGTATAGCAGACCTATTCCTCTTTAAAGGCAGTAAATAAGATTTTAGAATTTATCAATTTATTGTTATTTTTTTCGTTTTTAATCGGATGAAAAGTATCATAATGTTCTTTTCCTAGTTCTAAAATCTCCAGCATTTATCAGCCAAACCCGTTCAGCTGTTTTTGAGTTATAAATAGTGTAACTACACGATTTTTTTTTATATAAATATAAAGATTTAAATATAACATCTTACTCTGATGCATGAGTGCTCTTGGTGATATTAATGATTTCCCTGAAGAAGGCGTCGCTGGACTTAAAACTCTCACAATACCACGTCTAGCGCTCTGTGTCACCTACAATTTATATACAAATATAACACATATAAAAAAAACGACATTATATTGCTTAATGTAATGGAAAACTTAAAAATGTATAATACTTTAAGGTTATTACTATGTTCATTTTTAATTATCACTGTCGTTTAATAGATATTTTAAGCAGCAATATCGAAGTACATTTCATTAATTTTATAGTCATTAGTATGAATACAATCTTAAAAAGAACTTTTAGACGCAAATTTTGTATATATAGCAAAATATTTCTTCTATATCCAAAACAAAGGAAACAAAAGTTATAACAAAGTATTATTCTATGTTATTTAATTTAATTATACAGTTAATTACCTGTGTTGTTGATGTACAAACTACTGCAGAAGTTGTTGAAGTCTGTACCGACGACGGTCTTATTAACAACGAACGAGTTACTTGAGCTAACTGGAATGATAAACATTATATGACAATAGATTTAAATGAAAATGGACTTTAATGGTCATTATTTTAGAGATGAATATTGGACAAATTAACAATAAAAGAAATTAATTAAGGTTTTGATATTGTTCTTTTTTTTCACTTGCCTTTGCCGACTGATTGACACTATTCTGATGTATAGATGGCGCCACGTTGCTTTGGATAGCGGTCGACGAAGGTTGTACGGAAATGTTTAAAGAAACCTGAAAATATATACATATATACTTAAACAAATAATATATATATACAGGGTGTATGAAAAACTGTGTCAACCCTCTTAACTTCGTTATCAGTATCGATAATGTAACACAATAAAACAACTTACATTTACAAACTCTTCAATAAAAATAATAAAATTAAATATTAAATCATTATTACATGTAGAGTAACAAAATGTTTGTAAACCCTTGTATAACACGATGACACGCAATGACGTCATCACAGCTGCTGCGCTACTAGTGACGGCCTTGAAGTTACTTTCACACTATTGAAAATATCGATATTTAAAAAATCATAACCATAAATAAATATTTAATATTCATATTATTTCGATACTTATTTTGATATATCAAACATTAATATTATTTTTGATTGTAAAACACCATTTTTAACAGAAATAGATTAACGATTTATCCTAATAATACAACATATGTAGTTAATTTACCTGAACAAGTTTCAAATTATAATATTTATTATTAATAAAAGCTATTTTAAATGAAATTATTTTAATGTGAAAAGCATAACTATTTATAGCAATATTGAAAATGTCGATAGAATATAATTTTTACACTTTCAAATCTCTATTCGAACACCTAACAGAATAGTAATAATAACGCCGGCGGCCCGGCGCCTGCGGTCAATGGTCACGCATGCGCCGTAGCGACTACACGGTGTCTTGACCTTGTACGAGTCAGATGTTTGAAACATTCTTTCGAAAAATGTCGATTTAAAACTTACTTAGCCTATGCACTGTAACTGACTTCTGCTTGATTTTTTTTAAGTTATACTATTTTTTATAATAAGCTTATACTTATATGTATACGTGCCTTCAAGGGTTGACACAAATTTTCATACACGCTGTATATATATATATATATATATATGTAGGACAATTAATTGATAAAATAAATTCTAAAAATATATAGACAAAATGTTACTTGGAAACCTGAGTTAAAGGCCGTATACTGTAAGCTATAATAATAATGTGAAATCTAATATTGATATTATAAAAATGATATATTACCGGTACTTGTGAAGTTTCTATCGCGGATTTCTGTTTCATGAGTGGCGACCTCTGTGGAGCTACGACTATGGACGGAAGGCTGACTTGAGTCAACATAGTATCACTGTTGTGCTTCGTTAACGGCGGTACGTTCTGTTTGACCGTTTGTACGATCGATTGCTTGCCGCTCTGTTTGGGCGAAGGCAAACTCTGCTTTACTTTAGTATTAACCTGCTTAGCTTGTGTTTTTACTGCTGGTTTGTTTGTTAATAGGCTAGTTTTTGTATTAGCTTGTATCATCTTTGGCACTGTTTTCGGCGAATTTGCAGTCATCTGTTTTACAGCCGGTTTCATTTGAACTAGTGATGGGACTTTCGGTTGCTTGGGAACCGGTTTAGGTTTTTGCGGTGTCGCTACTAGTTTTCCTTTCGGTTTGTTTATCTGTATATGTTTTTTTGTGGCTTGTGTGGCTTGCATTAATAACTGGGCGGAGGATAAATGTGGCATTGCGCTAGGCGAGGTGTCATCTACGTCTACATCACTATCGGATGCGTTATCACCGACCTCTTCAATGCTAGCTACGTCGAGGTCCATCTGTAATGAAAAATAATAGCATTTAGTATTACATATATACACTCATTATACATAATAGATATCTAGACTTAGATGGTTCCTTATATACAAAAATGTCATAATAGATTTATGGGAATGTTATATTTATGGTTTTGGATTTACATAATATTGAAGACGTTTATATGGTATCAAAAGCATAAGTCATTGTTATATTTACATAACACCATATTTCCCAAAAAAAATCCGAAGTCATCAGAAAAAATTGGTACACTTAATTACAACGTTAGTTCTTAGTCGTAAGAGTTTTTAATCGTGTAAAGAATGCTTTATACTTTGATACTGATTCTAAGCTATACAAATATGTATTCTTAAGGTTTTTACTTCACACGACAATAGTTGTCGTTATGAAAACTAAATCACATATTACATATATATTCTCACAGGTGTTTGTGGCGAAGTGACCTGATGTGAAGAAACGTTAGCCTTACTGGCGCGACTGCGTACACTTTTATTCCAATCCTCCTCGCTCCTAGAAATAATAATAATATAGGAAATTAATAAAAAAAGATGTTCCTTAAATGTTAAGAAATATACGAAGCGGTATAACTGCTTAAAAACGATATTTTCCAAACAAAGTAATTTTAATAGGAGAAAAATATAAGTTGAGAATCGTGCAATTATATAATTTTACATATAAAAAGATTATTAAGTAATAAAAATAATAAATATATAATTATTATACTATAAATACACATTTGTATCGATGCCTTATTTAATAAAGAGTACGTAATAAGTACATTATTATTAAATATTGTATTTATAAAATATTTATAGGGAATATTTACTTGTGTCTGTGTAGGTATGTCCATAACGCTGTTCTTTGGTCGTATTTAACTATAGGATCTCTTTTTATAGCCAACAGTCTTTCAAGTGCAGTGGCAACAGCGCTTGATAAGGCTTGCTCACTACAAGGAACGATCCATTGAGACATCCTGAAATAGAAAGAATATTATTAAAATCTATATTAATTTAAACTATTTATTAGTGACGTAATTAGTCTTATGTAAAAGAAAATTTAAAAAAGATAGTGAAAATATTGCCATTTATTTATACTTTACCTATGTAGACAACGTTTTGTTGTATTTTTTTTTATATTTTTAGGTTTCAACAAAACTTTTTAGAGATACATTCCAAAAATTCGTTTAGTAACTCATTAAAATAATAATTCTAATATACTAAAAATTTCAATTATACTTTATTGTCCAAAAGAAAATATATGTAAACCTCGAAATTACGTCCTATTTTCAAGTTTAATCAACATTTACGCCTTAATACTAAATAATATAATACCCACCGCTGTATTCTAATATAACTATCATAGAATATTAATATTAATTAAAATGATATATATAAACTTTAATTACCTGAGTAGTATGACAATATCTCTCCTCGATCCCTCTCCATTAGGTAATCTTGCTAGAGCGTCCCTTAGTAAGGGCAAAAACGCGGCCGCGCGAGGCCTAGAGGGCGCTAGTAGCGCGGACCCGGCGGATCCTGCGCGTTGTCCTGTGGCAGGACCCACTACGGACCTATAACTATAAACACAATAGTATTAGAAATAATACTAATATTTTTAAAAACATACTGCCTTAGTTACTGTCACTTTACAATCAATACAGTTTTATATCTATGTATACTCGTAATCTTATTCTTCTTCCTGGCAATTTCTCAGCTTTAGCCAAGATCTGCCTTACATGTTGTGAATAGTTTTGACTAATTGTTTTTACGATCGGCCGCCTGCCTGACATCAACCCTCTTTGGGAATGCATTAATCACCACGCTTGCTCAAGACAGGTTGGTGATTTCAAACTTATAATTGTGAAACTATAAGTCCAGGTTTCCTCACGATGTTTTCCTTCACCGTATGTCAGTGGTGTCTAAATACTTTCAGAAAGTACATATGACTCAGATAAATCTCATTGGTACTTGCCAGGATCGAACCCGCGCCCTCATGCATGAGAGGCGGACCTTTAACCACTAGGCCACCACTGACTCTATATCAATATATACTAGCGAATATTAGTTATCAAAATACCACTGTTTTTAAAGCCGAAGTGATTCAAAATTACCACTAATAAGGTCGGATACACATCGTTATGCGTAAATTGCACATAAGAAACAGCAATATAAAAATACAATATTTATAAAGTTGAAGTCACATTATTATATTAAAGACACAACATGTGATACAAATATTTTATATATAAAGCTATGTACACACGATCTCCGAAATACATCTAATACCTGGAACATTCTTATAAAAAATGGGTAAACAATAAAATTTCCATGATAATTCCTTATTTGGTATGATAAATCATAAATACAACATGTTTTCCAAAGTTGTAATAAAAAAAATGGACATGAGTAAATTGTATTTGTATTATTTATTCCATATATTTAACTGTACTATTATATATTATTCTACTAGCTTTCCACCCGTGGCTTCGCCTGCGTTGAGTTCGGTTATATCGCGTTTCCAAGAGAACCTTTCAAAAGTCTGGGATAAAAACTATCCTATGTTCTTTCTCACGGTCAACTCCATCTCTGCACCAAATTTCATTAAAATCAGTTCAGTGGTTTAGGCGTGAAAGCGTAACAGACAGACAGACAGAGTTACTTTCGCATTAATAACATTAGTAGGGATATATATAATATAAACATACTCATATTGTACATATGTGAATGGTTTAGACGCGGAAGCGAATCTCCTTCGCTCTTGTGACCTGAAGTCTGCTATCTCCATAGTCGTCGGTTGTCGAACTACCCACGAACTCGGGTACCTAAAAAATATAATGTATCATATTAATCAGACCTAAAGATTATTTGCTTAAAACTATTATTAATAACATGATGTCCGGCCGTATAAATTGAGAAAAATATATCTGACTGAATGTGTGAAAACAGATCAATGTTTATGACTTAAAATTTCATGTGAGATATATGAATATTTCACCAATAATGTACATATATGTTAATGATTTAATATATACAATATACATATTGCATATATAAGATATACATACCTAAACATTCTTTTTATTACAAAGCAAACCGTCTACTGAAGGGTCCGTCGCCCATGGACATGAAAGGGTAACTAGTTCTAACTCATAGGACGAAACTACTAAGGCTACTTCACGCCTCGCTCGTCACATAGTGACGTCACGAGTTACGTGTAACAATGACGTCATCGAATCCTCGTATGACGTCATAGTTGCCGTACCTCGGCGGTGGTGCAGGCGGTGCTCTCGGAGGTTCGGCTCGCCTCCACCTCTCACAGAGTCTGCCGAGTAGAGCGTCGCAGTCACGACCCGCGCCGATCCATTGATACATCTGAAATTACATTATAATTTATTTATTTATTTATATTCGAAATACCATCAGCATATTCACAAACCATATGTTGAAAAAAAATATAAAATGAAAACTTGTTCAGTGTGATACACCATTACAGGTATTTACATTATTAGTATATTAGATCATAGTTTCCCAAAGTGTGCGATAACGACACTTGTGGAAGCAGTGGAAGTAATGAGGGTGTTGTGTAGAGGCCTGGGGGATGATTTGTAATATCATTTAGCTGGAATAAGTTATAGTGGATTCATATTAGGTGATGATATGCTATAAATTATTTACTCTCAAAGTGAGCTGTGGACAGAATAAGTTTGGGAACCTCTGAATAAGGTGATTATAACCAAGACATTAGAATATCACATTTTATCAATATTTTTTGTATCATTCAACATCTATTTTATTTTAATATTTACATTTATGCTTTTATATTTTTGTAATTAATTATTTACTGTATATTGAGATAGATAATATTAATGGTTGTAGCCAGATAAAAAAGGCTTAATATAAATATTTGAAGGCTTTTATGTTTAATCTCTTGGTTATATCTTAAGAAATATCATTTATAATTTCAAAACTACAAGTATTGAACGTATTCGTTTGTCTGACTTTTAGACGCGTTCAAATATACTTAACTCTTCTTGTTATACAGCCTTCAAGATACAGATAAACAGTATACTTAAACCACTTATGGTCAAAATATCTAGAATCATTATTATCAAATGTTACTAGAAAGAGACACAAAAATTTGTTTATGGTTATCAAAATTATAAATAACTACTTAAAAAAATAATAAAATTAATATTACAAGATGTTAAAATTCGGACTTAATTATTTCCATACAATTAAAATCATTACTCAGAAGAAGATACTCATTTATCACACCTAACTTTAAGAAAGATTCACTATAGAGCTAAAACACATTATGGTAATTAAAGATTACCTTAAAAATAAAATAATAAAGTACTGAAATCTCATATAAAACAAATATGATTGTAAACTCACTTCTGTTTCAGGTATATATTGTAAATATGGTACATAATCTTCGGGATGGGGTCCCCTTTCTCCGGCAAGGAAATCCAATGCTGAATCTAATTCAGCACACCAGTCATCTGACACTGAAATTATGATTTGTAACAATATTAGAATAAAATGAATTAAGGTATTCAAAAAGACTGACATCAAATAACAAGAATACTTGAACTATATTAATGTACATATTTAAATAAAGAGTAAAATCAAATAACAATATATATCCTCAGTTTCAAGTTTGTGTCCTAATTTCTGTATCTTTACATACTATACTATGTTATTTTTAAATGAAACTACTATTTTGGGTTATACTACGCGGTTTATTTTTGTAAAAAACTACATAATCCCGACGTTTCAGCTACTTTTCATCAACCATGATCACAGGCAGATGAGATGTGATAGATCTCACTATGTTTTGTTTTAAATTTAAGTCAAAAAATGATTTAGTTACTATCATAATAGATTTTAACTAACATTTGTTATATTGAAATAGTAATAAAAACTTTAAAACATGCATATACTATTATTGTTATGTTATCCTACTAATATTATAATTGCGAAAGTTTGTAAGTGTGTGTGTATGTTTGTTACTTCTTCACACTTAAACGACTGAACCGATTTTGATAAAATTTTGTATACAGGAAGCTGACGTCCAGGAATAACATATAGGCTACTTTACATCCCGGAAATCCGTGGGTAACAGCGCGGGGCGCAGCTAGTTCTATATATACACTTACAATTATACCAAGTATTTAGTGGAGCAATAGGAGATCTCATGACAGCCGCACATCTAGCGTGTAATTGTTGCTTTGAGGCTCTATGGGCTGCCTTCGCCGGAAATAAGGCACGCACCAGAGACAGGAAGTTAGCATGAGTTATTTCCGTCAAAGCCTCATCTGCCTCTAGGAGGCTTTCATCATTTTCTCCTGATGTATCTTGGATGACTTCGCCTGAATCATCTGCTAACTCAACCGGTAAGGCCATCATATCTGGAATTAATATATTTATATATGTTAGTTACTTATTTTGAAATGATATTTTGTATGGAATCAAATCTGAGTAACTGTAATAGGATAATCTGCATTGAAAAATTTACAGAGCAAAGTGAAAGCTAAACAATTTTCTTATTTAATGATTTTTAAGGTCATTTTTTTTACAATGAATTATTATTGATGTGTTTAATTTATTACCCATGAAGAAAAAATGACATTGAAAGTTATTAAATTAAAAAAAATATCTAGTTTTAACCTTGCTTTAAGTTGTAATTTCTAATTATTCAATGCTAGTTACGCGTTTTTACTTTTTACCTATGCCTAACAATTTGAAAGTTAAGCTCCTAAATAATATGACTATCTGTTGTGATAGTATTATTATAAATTGTAGACTAAATATTACTGAAATGATATAACATCTGAATTAATGCCTATCAAAATTAGTGTTTATTTTGACAACTTAAAGTATCCTTCTAAAAGTTGTGATATAGTATAGATAAAGTAATATTAATGATGATAGAAACCAACTTATTCCAAATGTTTCTTTGAGTAACAATATTAATATTTTGTAATAATATCTTCAAATAAACAGAATGAAGATTAAAATTCATCTAGAAAGTCATTGATATAACCGGGATAGTCATATTTAAGATTTTTTAAGTTTGTTTCTGTTATAGTAATCAACTTTATCTCATAAACAAACCTATTCCATCCAAATCCTCCAATTTAATAGGCACTGGTTGAACAACTCTCGATTGATTCTGCATTGAGAGCAGACTATCTTGAGGCTCCTGTTTTATTGTCCTTTCAATATCACTATCATTACAATTTGCACTGTAAATAGATACAAATAAAGATAAATATCAAGCAAATATTATTATCATTACTTAAAGTATGAAAGTGGAAATCCGGTTGGAGTAATATGTAAAATAAATTACCTTGTTATCATTAAATGGTAAACATTTTGAATAAAATGTTGTACTTATATTCTTAATACATATAAAAGTACAAACTTTAGCTGTTTTAATAAAATACAATTCTTATTTCCATTAAAAAAGTCATTTAATACAACTTTACAGTAAACTTATTAGTTTCTATAAGTTATATTAGTTTGCAACCATAATAGTCTTAATGTCTTCAGCCAAAACATCTATTTTAAATATAATTTTAACTTAACTATTAAAAAGGCATGTGAATGTATATGTAATAACTTTATATGTGTTATTCTTGAGGTCACATGTTTCAACATCAGTTGTGCTTGTATAAATGAATTTGAATTTCTATTAAGTAATAGCTCAAGAAAACAAAGTATATTAATAGCTTACTTGTTATATCTCATATCTGGAACCTCTTGTTTAATATCCACATTTTCTGACAGTCTCTTAGTAAGTTTTGGACTCGTCACTGGATCTAAGAATGACGAACTCTCAGAGTCTGATTCTTCCCTTTCACATTTAATTTTAATGTTCGGCAACAAAGGTTTATTTTCAATACTATCAATATCTTCTTTAATTTTCTTCGCACCTTTGCCGTCTTGTTTCTGTTTATTTGAATCCTTTTTAGCACCTTTCTTTAGTTTTTGTATGGGAGTCTCTGTCTTTTGACCGCCAAACATAAGTTTCTTTGTACCATTCATCAAAGCGACCCTTTGCTTTATGTCATTCAACGTAATCCCGGTTGTATTAAGTTCCGGATGATTCTTAAATACAAAAAATACAAAAATAGCATTTAAAATAATTATTTTAATGTATTAAGTAAATAAATTAGTTAACATACTTCTCTGAACTGTCGTCTGGCTCTGTGGGTAGCGAGAACGTTTTTCAGGCAATCCAAAGAGGCTGGATGTGTAGGATCTGTTATACCGAGTGTTCCCGATACATTTGTATCCCCACTCTGGAAAAACCATATATTTTTAATTATTAAATCTAACTATTAACATGATATGATAACATTTTATTACATTATTATTCTTATAGGAAATATCAAAATATACAACAATGAAGGTTTATCATAGAAAGTTGCAAAACAATACTCCATAGTCCATACAATATGAATTCTAAGACCTATATGTTTACATTTATTTTTGTATCACAATAGGCATTGCATGAACCATTTGAATTGTAAATTGCAAACTGACTCTTAAAGCTTAGACTTGAGTTAGAAAACAAAAGTTACCTAGGCATATATTTATAAGCTTTGGAAAATATGATGATAGATAAATTGAATTGTTTACTATATACCTGATTGGATTGCATTGTTTTTCTCTTTTTAAATGTATTTTCGGATGGGCCTTCTGGATAATTATCATCTTCCGATTCCTCTCCGCCAACCTCACTCCATATAGCAGCGAGCTCTTCAAAATACCTTTGTCTAGCTCTCACATATAAAGGTTTATAACTGTTTTTAGCTGAAGGTTTCGGTGGCAGCAATGGAAGGAATGGAACTGCACCAGGAGGACCTCCTTTTGCCGTAGCAAGCAATCGCTCCCGAGCAATCAAGACTTCAGGCAACATTTTCGCATAATAAGATTTGGTCTACAACAATTTAATTTACACATACTTGAAACTAATTAAACTTTTGAAGTCTATTTAGAAAGAAACAACAGTATTATATTGTTTACATAACAAGTACAAAACAGATTACCTTGTGTTTTTGTTGTTTAGTTCTGGCTTTCATCAAAAACTTTCTCATTCTAGCAATATCTGGCCTGTAATTACCTTGTCTGAGATTACTAAAAAAGTTATTCAAAGGTGACTTGAAATGAAATGGCTCGAAGTTAAATAACATTTTAAGTGTTGTATCTTTTTCTTCTTCATCATTTTCTGGGAACTTTGGAAGGAATTCTTTGAGATACTCCTTGTGTTTATCCTCTAGACTTTCCCAAGTTTTCATTGAAAAGAACTCTTTAAAAATGGAATAGTCCTCACATAACTCCTGGGGCAGCTCTAGGGTGTGCCCAAGAATTCGTACTGGTTCAGTGACCTCCTCATCGCAGTCGGAACTACCGCTGGAACTATCGGAAGAACTGCTACTATCATCACTGTAACTGTTTTCACTATCTGCTTTTTCCTCCATGACCAAACCACAACAGTAGGCATAAAATTCCTAAGCCTCAGTGTTGGTCATTCACCGCGTATCAAGCTTTAAAGTGTATTCCATCCACTTCATTGATATTTCAATTTGTTTTGTTACCGATGTTTACGAAAAACCGAATAAGTGATAAGTATTATCCAACAGATAGCCATGGACTTTTTTATTTAGTCGTCAAGTCTTGTCTAAAATAAAATACAACGCACACGCCAATCTGTAGAGTTTCATACATACTATGCGCCAGAACGGCACATTGCGATGAGAAAATAGCTTGACAACCCCGAACAGCGACATTTTGCCTTTTCAAAATAGAATTTTAAAACAAAATACCAGTTGTCTATGCGCCTTTTCAAGTATACGCTGTGAACTTGCAACAGATTATACTGTAAATTATAATAATGAACAAATGAAGTCCTGAAGGGTTTACCAGTATTTCTCAGTTACCCAATCTAATCGTTATTAAATTATAATATCCTTTAAAAAACATTTCTTAATGAAGAGTTCGCAAAGAAATATAATTTTCTCACGGTAAAAATGTCAAAATTTATTGTAATAATGTTTAAGTTTGTAAGCATTGATAGGCATGTATTTAAAACAAGTCGTTTTTCAATATTCACAGTTATTAGATTTCATAGCCTTTTATCGTAAAAGTATCCTTTTCATGCAAAATATTTTTTGAAGTTCCTTTCCTATTTGAAAATTGTTCACATATTTAATCTGTATTAATCACCTTCACAACTTGCCGCTAGGCTGAAATACTATCGGGGATTTGACTTTTTTGACATAAAATAAATCGTGGTGTAGTAAATATGGCTGACGAACTCAATGTTGACAGTCTTATTCATAGGCTTTTAGAAGGTAAAGTACCAATAATTATGTTTTATTGTTAATATTTGAAGTCTGCACCTCCTAAACTATAGTGTCAATAAATATTTCAATCTATAATCTGCTTATAGTTGCGTAATTATCGCTGAGTGTATAGGTATAGAAACGTCTAACTCATAAATAAATCGATTATCCTCAATTCTTATCTGAAACTACTATGAATGTTCATGCTCAAATGCCTTTTAGACGGCTATTTTTGTCTTATTCGTAAAGTGTAATGCGAATTGTATGAATATAGGAGTACAAGTTACGTATGTATTTCTAGCACTGTGGATGACAGATTCCATGGCATCGAAGAATTTCATGGGCTTATTGTTATGCTTTGTTCGCATTGTATGTTACTTTACTTGTTAATTTCATTTTATCATGCTGCTTTTTATGGGTTACATCAGTATACAGGCTGCAACAGGAAACGGCACGGCGAAAGGGAAAATTCAAAGACATCTTTTCAGGAGAATGTATGGTTACCTCCAAAATTCTATTTTCAGTATTGAGCTAGATATTAATTCGTTTTATTTTTACTTGTTTCCAAATGGACTGTTCCTTGTTTGCTTCCATTACAATCCCAATTTGAATATATATTACTGCTGAGTTGAATTGGGAAATAAACAAAATATTCAAGGCTTTGTTCTTTTACCCGAAAATTGCCAAGTCCAATATAATATTTACCTCTTATGCAAACTGCATACTCATATCCATTGTATGTAGCACTTCATAGTAAGTTAGTGATAACTTATGTTGTTGCTTTAAATTATTAAACAGATATGTTTAATCCATATCCATTTTTTGGTTTATGTGATGTATTTACCGTCACTGAATGCGAGCATGTGTTATGGAAACTGTTATTCATTGCATTATATTATCATGTGCTACAAACAGCTATACACAGAGGTCGGACTTATCAATGATTCATAGTTTAAATATAACTTTTATTTAAATAAATTATTTGATTACTAAAAAGACTCGGTAATTTACAGACGAAAACCCTCATTGGATTAAAAAGGGCAATGGATTAAGCTGACCTCTCTGTATTTGTGTAATGTTATTACCAGTGATGTCATAATCATTGCCTAAACTTGCTTAAACAATGTTTTTTGGGTTGTAAATGCTATATTTATAATATTTTTGTCTTAGTTCGAGGATGCCGTCCTGGAAAGACAGTTCAGATGTCGGAGTCGGAAGTGAGGGGGCTCTGCACCAAGTCCCGGGAGATATTCCTACAGCAGCCCATATTACTGGAATTAGAAGCACCACTCAAAATTTGTGGTAAATATATACTGATTACCAATGTGATTTTTCGGAGTCATATGTACTTTCTGAGAGTATTTAGACATTACTGACATACGGTGAAGGAAAACATCGTGAGAAAACCTGAACTTATAGTTTCACGATTATAAGTTTGAAATCACCAACCCATCTTGAGCAACCGTGGTGACTAATGCTCAAACCTTCTGTATGTGAGAAAGAGGCCTTGCTCAGCAGTGGGCTCTGATAGGCTGATAGGCATATATACTGATTATTTTCATATTATATAATGGTTTTTTCTTTTCATTTGTTATGAATTGTGAGTAATTTAAAATTGTGTAACTTCCAATAGGCCATGAAATTACATATATTCAAATATTATATACAATTTATTGAAAATTATTTATATTTATAATATATTTTACCTTAAATAATTATGCTTTATATCTAATTGGTATTCAACCCAAAAGGTACAATTGATGTTTTAACTAATATAAGTTATATTAAAATAAATTAAATACTTATTTACATTCTATTTGAAAATTAACAAAATAACTGATGAATTTTATTTATTATATTAATCGGTATAAGGAAATATTTTACTATGAAGTGATAAAATGAAATTTCAACAATATAATGTTTCCTTGTTTATGTTTGTCAATGTTTTATTTGTATTGTAATATATTTGTATATACATAATTATTAATTATATATGTATCTTACAGCAGATAATTCTTGTGTGCGTTATTTAGAATGCAATTTTAAAACAAACTAATTATTATTGGTTCTAGACTTATATAAATATTTTTTTAATAGAGCAAACTGTGCAATCGATTAACAGATAGTTTGTATATAAAAATCAACTTAATTGGGTATTTTTAAAAAAATTGGTAGTGTATAAAGGTTTTCCGTAATAAACAAGATCCCCTTGAATTGCATAGTTTCACTTACATACATAATTGTCTATATATTCTTCTACCTGGCAATTTCCCAGCTATAGCCAGGGTCTGCCTAATTGTCTATATATTATTTCTTATTTAATATATTGTCGACTGCATTCTATAACATTTGTTATTCTCTAAACAAATGACTGTGACACATGCAACATGTAGATTAATATACAGTAGATGTTGTATATTAATGAGTTATGACAATATATAATAAACATTGCCAATTCTGTTATAACTGTCAGCATAGATAATGGAACTTTCTAGAACATTTAAGTAAAATCATATATGAAATATTCTGAACTAATTTATTTCTAATATAGGCTATTTATTTGGTATTTTTATAGAATTAACTCGAACGTGGATATGTCTAATTTAATGTATCATTTTAATGTTTGTAATAATGTAAGCAAAATATTCGTAATTTATGAACGTTATTTAAAGAATTTTATATTTATTTGTACAGATATGTAATATATATGTGTGAAATAGTATATAAATTATGTTTTCAGGTGATATACACGGTCAGTACACAGACCTGCTACGTCTATTTGAATATGGCGGTTTCCCGCCAGAAGCTAACTATCTATTTTTGGGCGATTACGTCGATCGCGGCAAACAGTCTCTCGAAACCATATGCCTCTTGCTCGCATATAAAATAAAGTATCCAGAGAATTTCTTTCTGCTTCGAGGCAATCACGAATGCGCGAGCATAAATCGTATTTATGGTAATTTTATGTTTAAAACTTTGTAAGAATCTATTAGCTTTGTTTACATACGAATTCTATATTAAATCTAATCATAATGTTAAACACATGCTAGCTTTCATGTTTTTTCTTGAGAAAATGTGTTATACTTTAACAAATTGTCAATAAATTTCTTCAATAAGTATACAAAAATGTTAAAATAATTTTCTTTGGTTTATTTTTTAAAGTTTAATTTTGGCTTGATCAGTAATTTATGTTTTCAGGTTTCTATGATGAATGCAAACGCAGGTATAACATAAAGCTGTGGAAGACATTCACGGATTGTTTCAATTGTTTGCCGATAGCTGCTATTATTGATGAGAAGATATTCTGTTGTCATGGAGGCCTCTCGCCCGATCTTCAGGGTATGGAACAGATCAGAAGGATAATGAGACCCACTGATGTGCCCGATACAGGTATTTTAAATAATTAGGCCAATTATTCCCCTACTAGCTTTCCACCCGCAGCTTCGCCCGCTTGGATTTCGGTTATATCGCGTTTCCAAGAGAACCTTTCAAAAGTCTGGCATTAAAATTATCCTATGTTCTTTCTCAAAGTCAGCTCTATCTCTGTACCAAATTTCATTAAAATCAGTTCAGTGGTTTAGGCGTAAAAACATAACAGACAGACAGTTACTTTCGCATTTATAATATTAGTAGGGAGTTTTTTTACTGTTAAGATATGTTAGTTAAAGGGATTAACACATTTTTTATCTTTAGAGGTTTTAATTCATTTTAATCTACCAAATTTAATGATATAATGATAAAATTCATAGGAATATTTGTTAAGTTGCACATTTTGTTTTTATTCTGATAAAGGAGTTTTGTATGAGCAATGAGTAGATCTTTCATTAAAATTGATCAGTGTTTTTTTTTCGAAGTCTTATCAGATTCTAATTACAATATTTTGTATTACATTCTGATGGTGTCTCATAGAATCTTTTTTTATATAAAGGTGTTATAAATTTAGCATATATGACTAAATACAACCAGAAACAATTATAAATTATTTAGTAAGACTATTATTAGTTAGCAAAATTTTATATAATCACCCCACATATAAAACCTCAGAAACTTACAAAAAAAATAGTTCTTCTCCATTTTGAGAATATATTCTTTATCTGTTGAACATTGAACATTCATTACTTATTGCATAATGTATGTCTTGTTAATCTTATCAGACTATATGTCACAGTCTATCTCATTATGATTGAAATGTTTATCTTTATCTCACAGTAAATGACCTCCTGAACTTGGTATCACCTACAATCTGATACCAAGAATAAAAAGATTACTTTGAACTTCCCCCAACTATATATTTTTAATAATAAATAAAATTAACAAACATATGTACATATATGTATATATAGAATTAGGAATGACACTATATTTTATATAGAAAATACATTAGTAATAAATTATTATGATTTAAATGGACAACACAACTATTATCCTTTTGTAACATTCGTATAAATCAATTTATGAATATCCATAAAGCTATATATTGTGTTAAATGTCAAACAAAATGACATTACTACATACAGTTGAAATTAAAATCCCCACTTATATTATAAATGCGAAAGTAACTTTGTCTGTCTGTTACGTTTTCACGACTTAACCACTGAAGTGATTTTAATGAAATTTGGTACAGAGATAGAGTTGACCTTGAGACAGAACAGGATAGTTTTTATGCCAGACTTTTGAAAGGTTCTCTTGGAAACGCGATATAACCGAACTCCACGCGGGTGAAGCTGCGGGCGGAAAGCTAGTTATCAATAAATCAAATAAAGATTGAGGTTACATTGTATTTTATATGTAATATAATGTTATTTCCCAGGTTTGCTCTGTGATCTTCTATGGTCTGATCCCGATAAGGATGTACAAGGATGGGGTGAGAATGATCGTGGTGTTTCATTCACATTCGGACCAGATGTAGTCAACAAGTTCCTCAACAGACACGATCTAGATTTGATATGTAGAGCCCATCAGGTATGTTTATCGTGATGCAAATTGAATGAAGTCATAATAGATCACTAGCCGCGCCCCGCGGTGTTACCCGCGGATTTCCGGGATGTAAAGTAGCCTATGTGTTATTCCTGGACGTTAGCTTCCTATATACAAAATTTTATCAAAATCGGTTCACCCGTTCGAACGTGAAGCAGTAACAAACATAAACATACACACACACTCACAAACTTTCGCAATTATAATATTAGTAGGATTACATCATACATTGTCTTATGTATTGAACCAAGGTTGGAAATTTCATTCAAGTATTCATTCTTAGTGCACAAGTAGATGTTATGTGTATTTTATTGTTATTTTGAATGAATTCTCAGAAGATTATAATATGTAGGCTTAGTAAAACCATAATTTTGTTAATAAATAACTGTTGTATCACTCATATTTATAATTTAATATGTTTATTTTCTTTAAAAGGTTGTTGAAGATGGTTATGAGTTCTTTGCTAAGCGTCAGCTGGTCACACTATTCTCAGCCCCAAATTACTGCGGCGAGTTTGATAATGCTGGTGGCATGATGTCCGTTGATGAAACGCTAATGTGCTCCTTCCAGGTAAATATATTATTTATTTAAAAATACGTTTTAGGTTTTACTCTATATAAAGATGTTAAATTATATGATTGTGTTGTTTAATGAGATTTGATACTGCGAGTATTCATTTAAAGGAAACCAATATTTTTTCGGATAAGTACGTAAACCTCGTCTGCCCGTGATCACGATTGCTGAAAAGTAACCGAAACTTTGTAATAAAGTAATACTCCCGTATGTATTTTTAATAATAATAAAATACGCGTAGTAACCGGAAAAAATATTAGTTTCATTTATTGTGTTGTTTAGTTATTGAATGCATTTTACTACATGTATTACTGTGGAATAAGATCTTAGTTAAGATAAAACTAAATATAAAGACAGTTATGTATAGAAAACAATAATCACTAAAATTGCAGTGTATTTATTTCATATGACAGTTGGTTAATATTATTATTATTTATTATAGATATTAAAGCCATCTGAGAAAAAGGCAAAGTATCAGTACAATGGTATCAACAGCGGCAGACCGGCGACGCCTCAGAGATCGCCACCGAAAAAGAAATAACTGATGCTCGGCGCCCATTGTACAGCACAGTGAGAAGGATGTTAAAAATAATTAATTTATATCGAGTATTATAACTATCATGACGGACATAGCCGAATAAGAATGTGTACTGTCGAAAATTATTATATATATTAATTATCTATCAATTCGTGCCTTCCTATGTTTAATTTTTACTTTATATGTGAGTGATATTAATTTATTTGTTTAGTTTACAGGTGTTTTTGAGCTGGTTTTAGATTTTTATTCGGCGATGTCGCGTGATTGGCTTTTTAGATCCGACGTTTGCAGCTATTCATCCGATTGCCTCGTTGTGGACATTGATATTATATTTAGAGAAATTGTTTTTTTTTGTTTGTTATGTAATGAAGTTGATTGATGGTTTTGATGGCGGGCATCGGGGCAAATCACTAACATTTGAGTTTTAGTGGATCGGAAGCACCGTTGCTTTGTTTATTCTATAACTAAATGTGCCTATAAATGTAAATTTATATATAGGTATTGGATGTAAGTGACGAGAATAGGTTGATTTGACAAAATTTATTGTTGTTCACTCGGTCAATTGGCGATGTCGTTTTAAAAAAACTAAATTCGTCGTGTAATGTTGAATCCTTGGGTTTTGTTTTTAGCTTACATTATTTATTGCGACCCGTTTGAATCTGGCCTAAGACATGCTAAGATATACCGGGTGGCATTGGCATGTGCTTTCAGTTAAAATACTGGACTCATTGAGAACAAGGGAGTGAAAAATAAGTCCCAGTGAAATTATTTTTTTTTTATTTTGCACACAGTATTAATGTAACGAATAAGTAGATGTTTCAAAATTTTGCAGATTGCATGATCTCCCTGTTGAGGCTTTAACTTCACAAATTACGTTAAGTCTCGATATATAACTTTAATGGTGGTAGAATCAGTGTAGTCCTCGCAACAATAGTGCAATTGCTTTAATATAATTATATGAAATATTAAAAAAATTATATGCAGATATTGCGTTGTACAATTTTATTTTTTAGCTATGTTAACAATGTCAAATAATATTCATTAATAAATATTACTATATAAAATTAAGAGGTTTATTTTACTTTCATATTAATACGAGGTCATGTGTTTTTTTATTATTCGCAGGTAAATACGATTTTCTGTAATTGATTTAAATATATATTATATCTAACAATACATGAATTGTTTTCATATCACTTTCAGATTTTAGAATAGTTATTCACTTTAATTGATACTTTGTACTGCTTGTTTCATTAAATATTTTTCTAGTTCATTGCGAGATAGATTGTCATCACTAATGTCTTATATTCTTCTCTATTTTCATATGTAAAACATAGTTTCAGAGTAAATTGAGTTTCTTTTTAGATTATAAATTTTTGTTGTACTTTCTCTGATGTGTACAATTTTCTGAAATATAAATTTTATTCAATATTCGAGTGTATTATCAGTTTATTAATTTCATTCCGATACTTTCTCCGACCAGTTTACTTCATCGACCCTAATCATATTTGGATGCATTATTTCAGCAAGCTTTCCATGGTTAGATATTTTATTATGTATGTTTGTGACAATTTCTTCATTTTTCTTTTGGTATTTTTGTATATCCATTTGTAAAGCTTTGAGGTAGCCTCTTTTGGCCGTCACAGATTTTTTTAGTCTCGCAGCTCTTGTTTCATATTCTTTAGCTAAAGTCTCTAGCAAAGTTTTCTGTTTCCTTAAATTTGCAACATCGGAAGCCCTCAGCTGACTTTTAACATCATTATGTTGTGGTCGCCTGAAATGATATCATATTAAATGCTATACAACCTTATAGAATAAAACAATAATAAATTATTAAAAATATAAGTACCAAACTTTATTTTCAGTATTTATCTCTGAGAATTTTTCCTTTTGTTTTTCTAGAATTTCCAATTTCTCTGGCATATTTTCAAATTCCCACATACTACTTATTTCTTGCACCATCTCATCAAGAATACCCTGTTTTAAGCAATTAAACATAGGTACCCATTTCACTCTTCTCAATTTTGCCTTAGGTACTGTTTCTAAAAAATCTTCATTTCTAAAATAATAATAATTTGTTTAAAAACTTGGAGTACAATTATTTAAGAATCCATTTGTTCCAGAAATGAAACAAATTAAAATTAAAGGGCCATAGTTACAATTTTCTCATATTTAAAATGGAAAATATTACGAGTGAAGATTTCGTAACAATAATAGATAGATTGCGTGCACTTAATATGAACATTTAAGTCCATTAGTTACTTTACTAAGGCTACAATAGGTCATGTGGCACATAATTGGGCCAGAATATTACAGAAATTGCAATACTAAAGTGAATCTAAACGAAAAGGATTAAGTTATTTATGTATGATTTAAATTAACATCATTAAATCAAAGTTTTATACTAAATTTGCTTTGTAGCTATAACACAAACCTAAACATAAAAAGTTATTTACTTATAGCTAAAACATAATAAGTTATTTAGTACTAAATATTATCGGACTCACCTGACGAGATTAGCTATATTGCTAAACTCTTTTAGAATCGTAAAATTATCAAATGTTGCTTCGGAATTATTCATATCGGCTTCGTTCATTTGCTCTTCTATTTGTTCTCCCATTTTGAAAGCTTATGAAATCCTTGCCAAAGAATCTAATCTATTTTAACAACTTTGAGTTAAGCTATTAAATTCGTAAAAGATACAAATGACAATAAAGCTGTACCTATCAACTATCTAATAACTTGTTTGTTGTTCTTATTTCAACGAATTTCTATTTAAAATAATGTCATTAGTTTGAAATTGAAACTTGTCAGACGCGCAAAACATTCTATCATGCTTTGGATTCTATATTATTAATCCAGAGTAATTAATAGTTAAGTATGACAAAGTATGTTAGAAAATGAAGAAAAAATTATTATCATTTATTATTAAAGCTACTATATTTAAAATAAGATACTTCTTCACATTTGAATTAGTATAACGGGCAGAACATAATACATACATATTTTTTTAAGTGTCCAATTTATTAACACCTCTAAGTGTCAAAATTATTTATGGCAACGGTTTGAAAGCTGTTGATCAAAGTTTTTGAATTTTGTATACCCAAATTTTAATCCAGTTGTGTTGCAATCCTATAACTTAGACTTGGCGTTTTGAGCAACTGACTATTCGTTATAGCTAATGAATAAATAACTTTGATAATATATAGCAACTTTGCTTGCAGTAGTCATTGTTGATATTTTTTTTACTTAATTTTGAGAGGAATAATATTTCAAACATTTGAAACAATTTGAATTTGACTTAACATTTCCTAGACAAAAACAATTTGAATTAACATTTCCCTGATTGACTGCTGTATGTAACTGACACTTATTTCGTAATGTTTAAATTTGTAATATATTATATGGATAGCCTTTTTGACTTTACGAAAATATTAGACTACAATTGGCTCGGCATTTTGTCACATAACTATTAAAAAATACACATTTAATATAAAATATAAATTATAATCTTAAAACAGTGCAGTGATGTGTTTTGACTTCATAAATAAAAAGTAAATTTTAACATTTCCTGTTATTTAACATTTTTTTTAACTCGTCACACTTTAATGGTGTAAATTAAAAATATTTAACGGCTTTGCCACAAATAATAGGTGGTTAATTCAAATTGTATTGTCATTTCTTTGTTATATCCCTCACTCCATTGACATATACTAATGGACATGCCTTAGAGATGAGAATTGTGGCACTCCGAAAGAAAGAGAGGAAACGAAGTTTCGGTCTATCTTTATCTCTCTCAAAACAGTACCGTACTTAAGGCATTATGAGTCCCTTCTGGATAATTTATATGCCGTGCTTGTCATGAAAACTGAGCACCAATCATCTATGAGGAAAGAGATAGAAAATTACTGCAGATTATACGCGTACGGCACGTCCATTAGTATATATTATGTCGATGGGCCACTCGAATATTATCTGTCAAAAACATTTTTTTTTTTGTAAATGTATTTACGACTCTGGACACGAGTCCTTTTGAGACCTATCGTTACGACTGTCCAAAACAAAAACGCTTAATTTGCTATCACGCATGATCAATTTTTAACCAAATATTATATTAACTGGTGTTTTTCTTATGAAGGAACGGCTTGAATAGCGGCTTGCCAACTGCGGCACAATAATCATAGACCAAAAAATCTGTTATGTCTTTTAATTATAATAGTTGGAGCAATAAGGAAAGCATATAAAAAAAACCAACATTGATTTTTATATATTTAATTATATATTTTTTTTAATATTTTAAAGTACATAAAAATAAAAATAATTATAATATAAACAATTTTATTGTAACAAAGTTCATTTCCGTGGCAGTGACTATGTCGATTATTGCAGTCTTTGAGATCTTAAATAAATTATGTACCGAATAGAGTTCGTTTGTAAAATTTCGTAACATAGTCAAAATGTAGACAGGAAGAAAATAGAAAATAAATGTTATATTAGGCATTATTACTTATCAAGTAACGCCGATGACAGGCCGTTTAGAAAGCAGCAGCTGAAAAATAAAAAATATATATTAATGAGTGAATTAAAATTGTATTAGAATTATTTCTTCAAAAAGATATGTATACATTTAAATAGTAAATAAGGTTTGGTTTACAAATACTTTTAATTAATATCTATAAATTGTTTCAATTAAGTTACGCTACTTCATATTAATCTTAAAATAACAAGCCATATTACATTATATGAGTTTAATTTTTTTGGAAAGACAGTAAATGACCTCGACCTACTCAACAATGATTTTGATGACATTTAGGAGTTTTTACATATTTTCAATTAACAACTTTACCTAATTATAAAATTTCATCCTATTTGTAGTACAGAAAACATACAAGTAAAAATGTTATTTATATAGAATACCATACGAAAAAATATATTATGTACTTAATTTTTTTTATTTATCAAAATGAATTTTAGTTTTGTATAAAATGTAAAAAGATATTAATACCTTCATAAGCCCCTATTGATTATCTACGAAATTAATTAATGAGTGATAACAATTTTTAATAATAAAAATCGAGAGACCACATTATGAATAGTGAAAAAAATAAATTAATGGAAAATTCAAGGGTAAAAAAATAATGAGAGGATACGAGCTCTAGGAACAAATACAAAAAAAGTATAAACTGGGGTCTAGGTTAGTCAACAAGATGCATAATAAAATATCAAACTTTTCTTTTCCACACGACCATAATGTAACATTGACAATAATGTATTTTTTTGGGTAATAATTATCTTGCAAAATACTTCATTGAGGAGTAACATATGCAAACATATAGATAGGTAGGTACCACAAAAAGTATATAAACTATCTACCATACAAAAATACATCCTAGTTACCCATCGAAGTAATATCTGTAGCTCTTTTAAAGGCTACGTATGAACGGAAAAGTCTTGCTTAAATCATCCACAGTGAATCTGTCTTCCACCATAAGATCTGCCGTGATCAGAGATTCGCATTAAGCATCGTTTTGTTAGATAAAGTGATATAGTGATGCAGAGCTGCCGTGTCGTCGAGAAGAGGCCAATATTACAGCTCAAATGCTTGTAAAAGCTTGTATGTACAGCAAGCGACTAACCTAAAGGCCTGATCGGATGTTTGTCCCAGAGGAAGGTGCGTTTGACCGGCGAGAGGTACGAGTCACGGATGTAGGAAGGGCTGCGGTCCCAACGAGCCATGGGCCTCAGCTCCGGCCAGTCGTACCAGAAGGGGTCCCTCGTGATCGCTGAGATCGGCAGGGAAGGGCTAGGGTTGAAAATATCAGCCCATGGCCTACGCCTCAGGCCGCCGGCGTTGAATAGTGGAGCACCTACACGTCACAATCATTAATGGACGGACAACAGACAACATGTGACGTCATCGCTCCTGCACTGTTGTTAGTGTTGTAGCAAAGCTATGTTACAGACAAGCAATAAATATTAATACTACATGAAACGTAAAAACAGAACTGATGTTATAATTGTCTTTTATATTGTTATGGAAGTGTCCGATCGAGTCGTTTTCTAGTGAACAAAATTTGCTGTTTCTTTGGATATTGTCACAATCGATTATCAAAAAAGGCTTCGCACTAGAACAAAAGTTTACTCCAATGTAATTAATAATAATTTTTTTTAACCTCCGTTTTTATGCTTAGGGTTTTTGGTTCACATTTAGAAGTAATGTAGCTATAAGTTACCTTGTCAATTTTTATAAAAAAATAAATAAATTATAAGAAATTTATTTAATGTGAGCCGAACAGCGATCGCACAAAGTAGATGAATATTTTTAGTGCAATATATTATGTATTAAATCCTAATATTAGTGCTTATTAATAAATCACACTTAAAACAATAGTAGTTGAAAAATTAGTACAATTATTTTAATTTTTACACTACAATCTTACATAACTAATGATTTTTTATTTATATTAATGGTTATATATTCGTTGTTCTGACGCTAGTTAGGCAACACTACATAGAAGAATTTCGTGAATAAAACGTCTCGTAGTTTATTCATCGATACCACAATTATGATAAAGTACTCGTAACCACAAAAAGAGTGCCGGAGAGAAGACGCTTGCAATTTCAAGTGACATCTAGATATCTTGAAACAGTTACAACAATAAAGGGATTGACGTATACAGGGTGTCTGTTGTCCTTACCGTCAGAATCGAAAGCAACTTCACAATCCCGGGGCGGACTTATCCTTGGCTTCACGGGTGTAGGAGATCTCCCTCGTAGAGATCGGTCAAAATCGGCCCATTTTTCGGCATCAGCAAAAAACGGATCCTTACTGAACACGTCCGATAGTCTCGACGGCAACGCTCCTTACGGCAATTCTCATAGTAAATACCACGTCAAATAATCCAATATTTCAAACGTGGCTTCATAATGCACCCATTCACAAATCATTAATTCACTGTAGTGTTCACCCAACGTTATTAATGTGGACATTCCGATGGTGTTCTTGCTATTTACAATGCCATCATGCACATGTCCTATTATGTTATATGATACATATTTTTGTAATAAACTCGTGAGAAGCATCTCTTACATCAATGACGATGTCATACACAATATACCAAATGAGAGGAAGGTACTAAACTACTAAATCAAAACACGAATAGGTCTTTTATATTTTAATAAAAAAAATATGAATGGGTTAGTCAGTGCTATTAATTTTGTACTATTTATAAAGTAATAGAATACAATATAATTATATTAAACGAGTCTACTCTATGTGTTCTCTTGATTAACAATGATACGTATAACATTATAACGATTGATACAAATTTTTATATACAGAATTTTGGCAACAATAATGAACAATATTTTATGAGAGCAGAGGGTATTAACATAATAAATTTAGAAAACATAATATAACATTATTTAGATGTCTTAAAATAGAGGTCATATTTTAATGTTGCGATTTATATATTAAAACGCAATTTTAAAATATTTCACTATTCACATTTTCATTATTATTATTCTCATCTGACTAGGTTCAACGAATCGTATTGAATCTAACAGGGAGTGAAGTTTTGTTACAATACCCTATCCGTGTAAAAAACTTGAAATATAATGCTTTTATAATTAAATTAACAAATAAAAAACCATTAAATATCAGATTATTTACACGGATTAATACGTGCCGAGATTAAGCCACTCGTAATTTACAAAACAATCAGTCTTTTCGAGACACTAAAAAAGACGTAAACAATCTATCTATCGTCAAAATCGACGAACAGATGAATCCGACCAAAACAAGATTATACGCAAAAATCCGAATGGAGAAATCTTGGCAGCTCTTAAACTAGCTTTGAATATCGTGCAGAAATATTTAGTATTTAGTATTTACCTGATCCCCAGTGAGGCTTGTTGTCGGGTTCATATTCGATGCCCTTAAGGCTCTTGGGCGAGAGTGGGTCGATGACGGGCGCGGTCAGGTCGGTGATGGGATAGGCTCGGTCCTTCAAGTACAGTCCGTAACGGGATGGGTAAAGGCGGTCAATGGCTGCCATCCTGTCCAAATGATCCTGCCACGCCTTGTGAGCGTCGAAGGGGTCAACGCCTCTTCGCACACGTCTTGGCACATGGTAAACTGTGATCAAGTGAAGCTATTAGATACTATTGTAGCAAAAACGAGGATTAAAATCAAGATATATCCGACAATATGGACTTTTGGTTGGAAAACTGATAAGTATGAATAGGAAATCTGTTTCAAATTAAGTTTAATCATAGTATGGAAATATACATGTAAAAACAGAAGATAGTGCGGTTAGAATATTAAGAAGAATGTCAATCAAAGCTTGTATTGCTGTGAGTAGAGTTAGTAAGTATAAAAGCCTTTTTAGGACTCACCTTTGCTTTTTGAGGAACTTAAAAGTAGAATTTTTTATATAAGTCTAGGGGATTTTATTTATAAAGAAAATGTGGTCACCTGAGAAATGCTCGAAGATTTAATAATGATGTAAGCGTTACGTAGATGAAATGACTTCTAATATACTACATGCTCTAATGATTTATGATTTGGAAACAAACATTGGAATGTTATAGTATACAAGATAAATGCGCAACTACATAACAAATTTCTTAAACAATATGCAACTACTTTTACTGCTATGTTTAATACATCAATGTATATATAGCTAATGTAAATGTATTCCATGTAACATCTTGTTCAGTATATGTAATGGTCGATTCATCATCAATTAAATCTTCCAACCTTTTCAGGTCCACCTCAAAATTCAAATGCTCAAGCTTTATTTAAAAAATGCATACAATAATGTCATAATTTGAATATACTCAAAGTATTCATATATATTTAATACAAGACAGTTACTTTACAGTTTTAATATAATTCCCTTTACCAACATTAAGGAATGAATTTAACTAAGAAATCTTCCTCGAAAATACTAGCAAAAAAAAGTAGGAAAGAATGTCCGTGATAACTAAAATAAAGTTTAATTCATTTTAGACTCTGCCGGCATTCGCTGAAACAATTAAATAAAAATCCCAATATATACATTATAATGTCCCACGGTGAGGTTTTTGTCAGTAATAATTCATGAATACATGTACATAATAAAAACTAATTTTAGAAGCAAATAGCTGTTACAGAAAAAAAACATGTAAGATATAAACAATGAGCAAATTAATAACACGTGTATTGAAAGATCAAAAGTGTGTTATGTGGTGTAAGCTGTCAGATATGTGTTTTTTTGTTAGCGTTGGGTACTAACTTGGCCTGTAGTGATCGAGGGATCGAGGGTAGTTGTGGGCGTAGATTGGACGTGGTGAGTATCCGTAGACCTCACGATGGACGGGCAGGTAACGGTAGCCAGGAACAGTTATCCTTTCAGCAGCGCCGACGGGGTCGTCATAAATGGATTTGCTGTATGGGTAAGTAGAGAGCAATTCAGGAAACACACTGCGACGTGTTGGCCTGTATCTCTCCTCAGCCCTGATGTCTTCCGATCCTGATAACGAATATATTAGTGAGACTATCTCAATCTAATGCAAATATATTTGTTATTAGATATAATTACCTTTTAGAGACCGAACGAAGGATTGCCAAAATCTGGCTTTCTTCGACGGCGTCTCATTTCTGCCGATCATTTCTAAATGACTTTTAAACATTTTGGCGTTTTATGTCGTGCTCGTTTTCTGCAACAGAATATTATATTCAATTAAATCACTGATCAAATCGAGTTATATTTTAGTAAACTTATCTCTAATTCCTATGACATAACGACTACAATAGCGCCAGTTGATTTTAAATAGACTAATGACGTACAAGCTAGATGCTAGTCCGCAAATAGCCGTCTCGGTGGCTGCTCCGTTTCGAATGGCCCATGACTTGGCTGTACGCCAGCCTGATGATGAGAGCTTGGAAATGACCGTTTTTACGAATGTTCGATCATCGTCAGCTATTTTAGTATTAGTGACGACCTTGTTGCTACCATCGTCTTCAATAAGTCAGCGGCCTGTCGCAATTCTAATTATATAATAGGTGATAATAATCGGTTTTCCCAACTTGCTCTTACCGATGGATATACGCCGCATATAATATGACAATACTAATGGGTATCCTTAATATAATTAAATAAATTGATCGTTACTATCCAATCATAGAAGTAAGCTGTTATGTTTCAAGCTATTAAGTAGTCAGAAACGAAAATAATCATCGTGATTTATAAGCGATTAACATATTTCAGATGCCTGTTCAAGCTAAACGTAATTGTAATTCATTTACGTCATTATCTATATTAAGAGCAGCAGATGGCGACTTATATCAAACCTTCAAGATAAAATTCTAACACTCGAAGACTCAGGAATGTAAATTTAGTTTTCGCTTTCAATTATAATATAACCAGCTTTAATATTGTATTTTTGATATAGAAGACTTAGGATTTAATTAAGTAATATATTTTCCCTATAATTATCGTAATAACTGCTAACCGATTCTGAAATCAGGGTAGATTATCGATAGAAATCCAAATACGGGTCAAGTTCGAGGTCCAATGGCGACAGATATATTTAGTGGAACACCAATGTCGGCTGGAAGCTCACCTGTGATGAAATAACGCGTGAAAATATTATGAAACGGATACAAAAATACTTGAAGCTATGATTGCAAATTTGGCTCGGATGTGAGACGACGAAAATAGCGCCTACCACTGGTATCGAATTTACAGCATTCTGGACGCAACGCTCTGTGACGCTCACGAGTCGCAGGTGGTACATTTACTACTTTCTAGCATCTTCTAGCATTTCATTGATTATAAAATACTGGCCATTTTCTTCTTTTTTAATAATATAAAATATTGACAGTGTTTTCTTTTAATATATACTGGCCATTTTCTTTTTTTTTTACATATAAAACATTTTCAGTATATTTTTTAATATATTGATTAATTAAGATCGCTTACAAACAAAGAAATAGATTCAGAATAAGAAAAGATCTATATACAGTAACTTATTTCTTTACATAATGTATAGTTTTCTTCAGATTTAAGTACACCTTTGTTATTACGTAAATATGGTGTGAAACCTTTCGATTGAATGAAAGTATTTTTTAAAATTCTAATACAGCCTTCTTAATATTAAACTATTTTAATTTTGTCTTCATAGTAATATGTAAAAATAGAGAACAGTCTTTTCATATCACCGTATTTCAAGCAAATAAATATCCTTTATATACATAATACATAGTTAATTTACTTACGTTCCGCTGATAAAACCTAAGTTTTAAAACCCGACCGAACTATACTGGCAAGACCAGAAATAAAATCAAATACCTACAAATAGGACCGAGCATATAAAACACATTGAGCACAGATAAAAAATAAACACTTTCCCGTTTAATAATTCACTTAATTCTTACCGATTAATATAATTTTCGTATAATAGCGATGTGTTGTGTCGCTGACGAGCCGACGTTGAGTGTCGGACCAGATCGGGCGCGCACTGGCGCGTTTCTTGTTCCCGCCCAGAACCTTCCCTATTCCCCCCATGTTATCCCCATTCCCCCCACAACCCCTCCCTCAGAACACCCAGTAAACATTGTCCACGTTTTACAGCCTCATACATTGGCTGAATATTTTATACCGAATATTATATATGATTTAAACGAGTAGTATAATTTTAATAACATCGTTTTTATATCCTAACATGAATATTCATGTTATATCCTGGTTACTTTGTTTATTTTTTTGTTAAGGCTTCGTTGTTACCTAATGTTGTGAAAAATGGTAGATAATTTGAGTAAATTATTATAAGTCAGGATAGTTTGAAAGTCATTACTTTTTATACAAATACATATAACCATTTATAATTTTACAGCCTTGACACGAAAATGTTTGACCTCTACGATTAGATTGGGAATATTCAAACATTTTTTTTTTCAAATTCAAAATTTTGGAATATTCAAAATATAACAAGATTATTTAATGAATTCAATTGTATTTTTCATATTAATAAATAAACAGCTACGAACTCTACATTTCCGTAGCGCCTCTACATCAACTTTAAGGTTCTAAGGTCTGCTTGTATAGAATTGTTAAAAATAACAATGAAACTGGCCATATATTTTGTATCAAAACCTTTTGATTATTTTCTTTTATATAATAAAAAGAAATGATTAAATTCTCACAAAGCGAATATGTCTATACGATGTTGGCTATTTAAATAGTATATATTTTTAATATTAACTTTCATTGTATATATTTTTTTTCTTTCTGATTATCTTTATTAAATTAATGTTCTCATTTTATTTCCTAGTTTACTAAAAGTAATTCATAAATAACTTCTAAAATATATAAGCAAAGATTTATTAAATACGTGACTAATGAAACCTTATTATTATTTTATATTAAAATTGATAACAGAATATAGTTTACCGATAAGAAGGTTTTATATGTGTGAATATTCAATATTGTATTATTAAAAAGACAACGGCATATTTTATCCATTTTAAGCGCTTTTTGGTACGATTACAATATTTCATTCTTGTCACTTAAGAGTCAAACACTGTTTTAAAGTAAATATATTTTGTTATACATTAGATGAGATCTCCAAAAACAATTTAAACCTATTCTATTGTTTAAATATTTGAATTGTTTTTTAAAAGCAACCAGTATCATACAATACAGTTTGAATCAACAAAAAAGGTTTGATAGCACTTCCGAAGTGACAGTTAATTACAGATAAACAATTCAATATTATATTAAGATGCCTCCTTTTATGATGACGTTATATATGTATACACAAACACGTAATATGGCCGGATGCAATCATTTCTAAAACATTAAAAGCATATCGTTTGATGCAAACACTTTTATTTCTATCCCAGACGCGGCAAGGTCGGTGTATGCGGAACGTCCTACAAATATCTCTGTTATTTATAGACATATTGTATTTCGGTTGATATACTGTACATAAAATTTACTGTTGTGTATAACTGAAACCATAACAACAATAAAACATGGCCGTGAAAACGAAAATGAATAAAAGAAATTTCAAAGACGATGATTCCTTTAGCTAATTTTATAAGTTTAAATTTTTTGAATTCTCTTATAATTTTTGAATTCTTTTCATGAAATATTACTTAAAAAAACGAGTAAGGAATCTCCAAGAATAAGAAAAAAATGTCTAGCATTATTTTTAAACGCTTTTACAATCAAGAAGTGTTATTCTATACGTCTTTTACGACAAAATACTTCCGTTTTTTACGCTACAATAACAAATTCTATCCAAAAATAACAATATAAATTTCATTACGTTCATCAATATCGTTAAAAAAATCTAAAAAGTATCACTTGTTTGTTACTTTCTTGAGTATTTTCTCGTATTAAATAACCCTTGAAAGAATGGTCACTACAACGATGACCCATTAACATAATTTATCGGATCTCCCAATATTTTAATGTTGACACCTGTCAACATGTTTAATTTATAATCTGTTTGTATACAAGCTTCTGCCAATAACTAACCTGTGATCGATGTTTAGGAAGCTTTTATTTTGATATAAATCATTACTATATTTGTACAGTGTTAAATTAAAAACATATTATTATCAGCGACGTATGTTTGACGTCATAACGCCCACGGATCTGCAATTCTTTTATTGAGCTCTTGCTCATAATCATTTACAAAAATAAGCACGAATGACAAAAAACAAATACTCAATATATTTGTGTAGGAATTAGTTACGCTTTAATTAATCGATGCGTTTCGAATAACGAAGATTCTTTACATTTTCACTCTTCTAAAATAGCTTTTGGTCGAGAAAGTTAAATAAATAAATGAACACTAAATTACAAATACAAACTACGTAATCCTTTTTTGTTTCGTATACTTGAATTGTTTAGTAAGTATAAGTACTTTCTCATAAATATACTATCATTTATTCAATAAAATTATTTATATTAAACTCCCAAATTTCTTTTTAATTTAATAAATATTAGTTTTCAGCCAGTTAACACGTAGTCTTTTTAGTTAGCGAGATGTACTTTATATAATGAACCCAGTGGCGAGTGCGGTTATTTCAGAATTCATTTGGCATCTTGAAATTGTTCTGGTATGGTGCATCTGTTGAATGTTTATTCATATATTATCTGTGGCTTCCCGCTAATATTATGTTTGAATTAATTATGTATAATTAATTTTATTAATACAAGCAGATTATAAATTTTTAGGTACTTATATATAAATAATCGATATTTGACTTATTTCTATTACAATCGTCTGTGGATAGTCTAGTTAAAAAATAATACAAAAAGTATTTGTTTAAGTTTAGTGGAAAATAAGGACAATGCAAGAAAGGACTAGTAGCCCCATCGAGGTGGTAATACAAAATAATTAGAATCAGAAAAAATAAATTAATTATTTCTTAAATATGCATTTAGTAAATAATAATAAGAATATTTTGTGTTGAAAAAGCTTTGATTTTTTGTTACTTTTTAATTAATTACTATCTTTTATATATCCGAAACTTTATCTTATATTAACAAAGGGTTGTGTAGTATCTTTCTGTTTGATTACACCAGAAAATGGTAATTTCGTGTCCCAACCAAAAAGTGGATGCAGGTTTTTTAAAAAATAGCATGCATCTCCAATTAAAATAAATAAGATCGAAA